TCTGGTGTGTGATTTCCAGTTTCCTCAGTGATAGTGTCTTCTGCATTTGTACTGGGTGGACTCGGGGCCTGAGACTGCATTTTGTTCCTTCTCTACATGCTATATTTTTTGATCACCCCTCTTATACCTTACTGATATTCCTTCTCTTTTGGTTTTGTAAGAGATTCTCTCTCCCTTACCCTTTACTTTAAAAAAATATTTACTGGAGCCGGGGAGATAGCTCAGTGGAATAAGCACTTCCCTGGCAAGTGCAAGGGACTGAGTTCAATCCCTGGTTCTGGGAAAAAAAAATTTACTTATTTATTTGATACAGGGTCTCACTATGCAGCTCAGACTCAAAGTCCTTCTGTCTCAGCCTCCCTTGTGCTGGGGTTACAGGCTTGCACCAACACACCCAGTTTCAAGGTCAGCACAACCTACCTGGCGTTCTGGGGCCAGCATGGCACGTGGTACCAGGGATGGAACCTGTGTCCTTGTGCTTGCCAGGCAGGTGCTTAGACCACAGAGCTATCTCCTCAGCTCCCTCTCCTCTTACTTTGACTGATTATGGAAATACTATTCTCCTCAGCATTCTTTTCTTTGATGGTATAGAACATGTCAAATCTTGGGCCCACTACAAACATATCTATACATATCTATTAGTTACTGAAGCAGGGCCTAAATTGTCAGTCACCCTAACTCTAAGCTTTAATCTGTTTTTCAACCAGGAGAAGGTTTTGTTGATGCTTAAAGGAAAGAGATTAGGATTCAAAATTTATTCACTTACTTCCCAAAGCATGCTTGTGTGGGAGTTCGTATGAGCAAAAAAGAAATACTGAAGACAAGCAATGACAGAGACAGTATTTAAAATACAGCTCTGCTGGGGAGATAGCTCAGGGCTTAAGAGCCTGCCTGGAAAACCCAAGTCGAGTTCAACCCCAGTACCGAAACCAACCAACTAACCAACCAACCAACCAACCAACCAACCAACCAGCCAACCAGAAAAACAATGAAATATGGCTCATACTTCTAGTTAGAAGACATAAGTTCTGGTCCCAAATATAACTCATGTTATCCAGATGACTTTGAGTAATTCAACTAAGCTACTTAAGTCTCAGTTTTACTTTAAAAATAGAAACACTAAAAAAAAAAAAAGAAAGAAACACTGCCTATCTTCTCTGCCTTCTTGTATCATTATGAAGAACAAATGAGGTTATTATGCTTTATTCAAAAATGAATAATACATTAGTCAGTAGAGATGAGATTTCATTGTGATGATAAACAACCTCAGAATTTCACTTGCTTAAAACAACAAAGGTTTAGTTTTTGCTCATGCTTCATGCCCAAGTAAGATGGACTGGCAGGGGATTCTTCTTGGTAAAATCCAAGATGAGGAGGTGCCACCTTCTCCTAATGCTGTCCTCTTCTGACACACTCAACATTTGCTCCCATAACTACAGCAGATGGAGACAGTGCCAGGTACTCAGATGGGGCCGTTGTGTACCTCGGCCTGGAAGTAGCACTCACTTCTGCTCACATTTCCATCTCCATGATCAAATCTAACTTTTGAGGGTATAGAACCTTATGAGCCTTAGTAATGCCAATCCCAGGTGATATGGGTGTATTCTATTGATTCTAAGACATGTTGTTTTCTGTAATGTTAGTACCTCTGAAATCGAGATACATTTGTGATTATCCAAATTTTATAACTGCCATAGGTCATTCTTTAGTGTTTTGTTTCAGAAGCCAGAATGCCTTTCACAGCTGGTAGTTTCTTAGATTTTATGATATGAGATTGTTTATATTCTTTCCAGATGTTTGCCCTCTGGAGATCCTAGCAGGACAGGGAGAGGGTGTCTGTACTCCCAGAAGCACTAGAGTGTCTTGATTCAGTTTTGACTTCTAGGATAGGCCTTTCTTTCTTCTTTTATGTATTTAGAACAGGGTCTACAGGGTCTCACTACACAGATCAGACTTGTAGGGATCCTTCCTGTTTTTCAGTCTCCCAAATGCTGGGATTACAGGTACATACCACCATGCCCAGTCTCAATAGTTGGTTCAGTGCACCCTGAGGGCAGGGCCAGCACAGCATGCTGGAGATTGAACCCCCAGCCCCTGCATCTGCCTAAGCAGGTGCTTTAGTCTGCTGGGCTATTGGGCCAGCCCCTGGCTAGGCCTTTCTTTCAGCTTCCTGCAACCATCTGATATCATTTGAGAGGGCCTACAGATGCAGAGCCAGGCTGAGGAGAGAGTTTTTGAGTCCTTCTTTCACTCCCAGACCCAAGCAAAAACCATTCCTCTTCTCCTTTACCCTGACACTGGCATCCAGTTCTGAGACAAGGTTTTTTGATAGTATACATGCCCATAAAGATTTATAAGACTGCAGTTTTTCTCATTGTCAGTGACTTCTTTGTTCTCTATTTAATCAATCTCTTTGAAATCTAAAGGGTCAGGATAAATACTGATTTGTGATTCCAGAAATTCATGTCTGCTGTTGAAGAGGTATCCATATCAGCCCCTAGTTAGCCAGTGTTCATGAATCTTTGTTTTAAAGGTTGATGGCTTCTTACCTATAACCTTCTTACCTTTGAGGACATTGCCTAGTGACATCAGGTACCACCTCCTCTCTGTTTTTGGCTTAAAATATCATCTGTAGGATTTTTTCTTTGTACAGGGTTTAACTATGCAGGTCAGACTCCTAGTGGTCCTCCTGTTTTCAGCCTCCCCAGTGCTGGGATTACAGGTGTGTACTACTACACTTGAACTTGGTCAGTGCCTCAGCATGCCTGGCTGCAGGGCCAGTGCCACATGTGCTTAGGAATCAAACTCCGGTCCCTGCACTTGCTTAAGAAGGCACTTAGTCAGCTGAGCTATCTTACTGGCTCATTTGTAGGATTTTGTACACCTGTGCACTCAGTTCAGGATCTCTGATCCAAAGTAGCAGGAGAGACTGAGTTGGAGACTAGAAAGAATCGAATAAGGGAGGATAAATTTGTGCTTGCTGTGGGGAGTTTGGAGTTAGATTGTTGTCCAGAACTCTCTTAGTTCTAGCTCCCACTCATATTGTTTCTTTGCTTTGAAAATAAGCCTGTGATTCAGTATCTTCACAGGTCAGCAGAATAAGGGCGTCAAGTTTTGGAGCTCATGACCCTGAGGGAAGCAGGTTATCTTTTCTGGAGACTAGACAGCAGTCAGCTAGAAAGACATAGGCTTAGCATGAATAATTGAAATTTCACGTATAATCCTAAATCCTTGTTGTAGATACTTCAGCTTCTCTCATGTACTAAGTCTTTCATCTGAGCCGTTCAAAGCAGCAGCAATGATTACTTCGATTTTATCTTGTTCAGTTTCCTCTGCTACCTCAGGGGTGTGCACTGAAAAATGAGCACACAGAACAGGGGACAGGAGCTAGTGTCCAATGTCTGGGTTTGGGTTGAAGGAACAGCTGGTGCCACCCAGAGGGTGGGACTCGACTTCTGCCTTCTTCTCTGTCCCCTGTTGGGCTACCTGTCCGTCTGCCTGCCTGCCTGCCTGCCTATCTTTCTATCTAATCTATTTATTTATTTAACTTTTAGATAAGGCTTTGTTAATTTTCTCAGGCTGATCTCAAACTTGTGATCCTCTTGCCTGAGCCACCACAAGAAAACTGTGCACAGCAGGAGAATTTTTCTTTAAGAGTTTTGACATGAGCTTATTTAGAGGTAATCATTTTTTATACCAAAAACTATTTTTAATCAATAGCTCATAACAACACATCTTTATGTGTGATGCTTGTATGTGTTTATATGTGGTGTAATAATCAACTCAGGACATTTACGCTACCCATCATCTCAAACATTTTTCAGGGAAATCATATCAAATCATCTTTTTGTAAATCTCTGCATTTTCATTATTTAAAGTGTATAAAGTCTCTCCACAGTGCTTTGCTTTCAGCTTGGTTTTGTAATAAATTCTAGTCCCAAATATATATGTCTTAAATGTTGTTTTTAAAAAGTCAGATGATATCTTTATGCACCATTAGAACCTGTAGGTAGGAAGTCCACATGAAGAAGAAGACTTCTTCACCAGGGTTACTGTTATAGCTCACATCAGTTGTTCCCGAAGGCCTCATGTGGTCATAGGTGGGGCTTCTCAGAGAGGTGGCTGGATCTCAGATGTGTGCTGCTGGGGCCAAAGATGGAATGCTGGGATTGATTCAAGGTGCAGTGGTAGAATTATGGTCCCCCGTCCTGGATGTCAGTGCTACCTGCTTTTAAGGTGAGTAGCCTGGATAGAAGTTAAGGGGCAAGGATAGAAAGAGGGGGCTGCCGTTGTCTCTGGCTGGTTTGCTGCTGTACTGCCCTCCTGTCTTGCCCCTCTGTGAGCTATTCCTCTTCTCCAGTGCCCCTCTGCCATGCCACCCTGCCTTGGAGCCAGTCAACTATGAACTGAAATCTTTACAAACTAGAAGCCAGAATGAAGCTTCTCTCTTTAACTTTGGATGTTGGGTATTTGTCTCAGCAAAGAGAAAAGTAACAAGGACAGTCTCACTGTGGACAGTGCAGCCCTGGGTGATGACAGAGAAGGCTCTCCCCAGGAGCTTGGGAGGTACAAGCAATTGAAAAATGCACACACACACATACACACACACACGCACACACAAGTTACCAGAATGGAAACTTTATAAGGGAAACTCCCAGCACTCAATCCCAAAAGTCTAAGGACTTCCTGCTTAGATGATTTTGCAGTGAAACCTGCAAGGATTCAAGGGGATTTCTTAATAGTGGGGACTGGGAAGCCTTTGAATGCTGTAGGCCTGACTTTCTCAACAGTAAATGTGTCTTGTAAAATATCTTAGAACATGTGCTTGATGTTTTTTACTGATTTAAACCAGGCAAGAGGGAAGAAAACCAGATTATCATCATCCTTGTGAGTGAGAGCACTCTGGAATGTTAATTTTCCAGCTGAAAGTACTGGAAGCTTCTTTCTTTCTTTCTTTCTTTCTTTCTTTCTTTCTTTCTTTCTTTCTTTCTTTCTTTCTTTCTTTCTTTCTTT